GGTCTTCGCGACACAGGGTATCCTGGAGGAGTTCCGGTGAGGATTCAGGATTGACGGTGTAGCTGAAGTCAGAAGCCTGGAACCAGACTAATGACTCATTGCAATAAACATTTACAAGTAAAGATGTGCAGAGAAAGGGTATACTATGTGGCACACTGTGACACTAAAGCTTCCATGCCAACTTTTCTTTTATTATTCTATCTTATTTTCTTGTGTGTGTGTGTGTGTGTGTGTGTGTGTGTGTGTGTGAAGGGGGGAGCGGTTGCAAGAGCAGAGGGCAAATATGGACCGATGGAGAGACAAGTGAGATTGGGATGCATGAAGTGAAATTGACAAAGAATCAGTAAAAGGTTAAAGAAGAAAGAAAGAAAGGGAGAGGGGGGAGAGAGAGCGAGCAGCTATCAAGCATCAGGTCTGAATTCATTCTTGATTGCTCTTTGGAAAAGGACATGTTTAGCTTTGACAGTAGAGGGCACTAGAGAGACATTGCAGGAGGCCATCCCTTTTGCTCGCTTTCTAGCTCCCCAGCAAGAGTGGCTTCCTTGCTGCCAGGTTCCTGGATATGGGCAGCCTCTCCAGAGCCAGCGCACCACTGAGAGAGCTTCTTTATTGAGCAGTTAATGAGGCTGGCTCTTCAGTGATGGTGGGTCTCCCAGCCTGGCCCATCCTATTGAAAGCTGCTCCATATTCAAAAGGCAGATCTCCAGCCAGTCTGGAGGGACGAATTTCCAGCAACTTCCACTAGTGTAGAACACCAGGAGCTTCTGCTAGTCACCAAGCCATGTTCTCTGCAAGATCTGGCCCTCCATATGAGGGTCTTCTTCTCAAGCTGGCTCAGACCTACAGAGTGACTGCTTCTTGGTTTTCTTGACAGGGTTTCTTTTTCTCTGGCTGTTCTGGAACTGGCTCTGTAGACCAGACTGGCCTTGGAGCACTGGGATTAAAGGCTGGGATTTCTTACTGTCTGCCACTCCTCTGTTATTTAGAGGTTCCTTTTGTCTTCCATGAAGTCAAAGCATTGCAGAAGGAGGCGTGGGTGGGAGGTCAGGAGCTGAGCCAGAACAAGAAGACATTCAGCATATATTCTACGAATTAGAATATATAAGGAAATAAATAAGGAAAGCAGTTGAACCATGGCTTGAGTGTGAGAAAGGACCACGGTGGAGGAATGGCCTGCAACTTGTAGTTTCAGAACTTACAAAAATGAATAAAAGGTCAAGAGAAAAATGTCTCAAGCAAAACACCACTTGGCATAGGGGGCGAGGACTAACTTTTGTTCTAGACAAAAATAAAGTCTATCTGTGGTACAAACTCCAACAGGAAATGCCTGCTGTGTGGGTTAAAAACAGTGGTTCCTGGGATCCACTCCAGACCAACTGAATCAGAACCTCTGGGGGAAAAAAAGATTGTCACAAGCTGCCCACAAGACTGACTCCATTCCAAGGCGTGCCACCATGGCACCTCATTCTCTCTCTCCTTCTTCTACTCCTCACCCCCTCTCCACTTTTGCTGGAAATGGCCGAGTAAAGATGGCAGCGAGGACATAGCAATCTTAAATATGTCACAACACAGATGCCCCAAACACGAGAAGCAAAGATGATTAGAATAAGTGATTTCTAGCACACTGCAACATCCATGACCAAAATGCAAACTCAATTGTATTTCCACACATTTGCCATGAATGATCCGTAAAAGATGCCAGATCCACCTACATCCACACAGCAAAGGAAATTTAGAAATAACTTTAACAAAAATCACTGAAAACTACAGCTATAGAAAGAGAACTTATGACAAGAGTAAGTGGGAAAATATCCACATTTCCAACTGAAGACTTAACTCTGTCAAAATGGCAGTACTTGGGCACTTACCATCCACAGGCTCAACATACCAACCATCAGAGTCCCAGCTGCTGCTTTTCCAGAAATGGGCAGGCTGATCCCAAAATTTATACAGAAATCCAAGGCACCCAGAATAAACAAAACAATCTTGGAAAAGAACAACCAGCCATGCGCGGCAGCAAATATAAGTCAGTCCAGCTCCTCTGGAGGCTGAGCGGGGGATGGCGACTGGATTCTGGGAATGTGAACTTAGCCTGAGAAACATAGTGAGACTGAAAGACCCCAATCTCAAAGAAAAAAGAAAAGGAACAAATTCACGACTGACTACAAAGCTAGAGTAATCAAGTCCACTGTACTTGAACAAACATGGCATAAAAATCAAGGGCTTAAAACTAAAGAATTCATGGCTAGATGTGGGCTACACAGTATGATGGTCTCTCAAAACAAAAAGTGAGAGTCCAAAAAAAACCAAAAACTTTAACACATATGGCCATGGATTTAAAAAATTTTTTATTTAAGAAGTTGTAGGAGGAATGTATATTATGTGTGTAGTTATTAGTGTGGGTGTATGCTTGTGTACATTGTGTGTGCATGTGAAGGACGGAGGTTAGTTGACATTGGGTGTCTTTCCTCCATTGCTGTTCACTTTTCTTTTTTCTTTTTCTTTGTTTTGAGAGTGGATCTCAAGATGGAAAGAGATTGAGGAAGATACAACATCAACCTCTGGCCCCATGTACCTGCACACACAAAACCCAGTTGACAACCCTAATGACATCCACAGACATGCATATCTACACAAAGGAACAGACACACACACACACACACAGAAATACAACACATGCACACTTGGGCATGATGGTCCATGCCATTAGTCCCAGCATTCAGGAGGCAGAGGTAGGCAGATCGCTGTGAGTGTGAGGTCAGCCAAAGCTACACAGTGAGACCACCTCAAAGAAAAAGAAAAAAAGAGAGAAAGGGTATATATCCCAATCGTTTATCTAGAGAATCATATGCCCATAGAGATATAAATGTATAAATGTGTTTCTTAGTTGTTAGATTGGGCTAACTCCAACCCAGGCAATGAATTTAGATAGGTGATCCCAGATATGAAGTAAACAAAAGAGTTAATAAAGTGCCCCTATTGAGCTAGCAGCGTTACTACCGGCCCCATTTTACAGGCGAGAAATCTGGGCTCTACAGAGAGTTAAGGTCATACAGGGAATACAAGATGGAAGCCGGATTCTAACCCAGGAAGTTAATAGCAGAGCTGGGGCCGAGTTACGGCAACATGACTCTGCTCCTGGGAATGGTGTCTCTGTTCTAAGATGCAGGCAGGATGGCAAGCAAGCACTGCTAAGAATCTCTCCACAAGACTGCTCTCTCTTGCCGGCGCCAGTGCACTGCTCAGCAGAAAGCCCTTAGCATTTGGGTGCCTACCATCTGTTTAATAGACGTCGTAGAAGTCTTGGTTGCTGCAATTTCTGGAGTGAAATTCAGGACAAAGCAATCTCTTTGCAAATACTCAGGAAGCCTCTCTCCTTCAGGGAAGAGATAAAGTGACAAGTGTCTGACAACGTGAACATTCAAGCTGGGAACGATCAGATAGATGGCTTTGTGACACAGCCCCTGCTGGAAAAGCAATCGTTGAAAATCCATAACAACATTTAACTGTATACAGCTTACCCGCCCCCCCCCCCCCCCCCCCCCCCCCCCCCCCCACCCCCCCCC